CAAAAAATACAGTCGAATCGAGAACCTCCTTTGAAGTCGGTTAATGAGTATATAAGACTAAATCGAAATGATTTTGTTTTATTACCAATTTCCAAAACTCAAATGTTCTGTCAATCACAAGAAGGTTAAACTAACAAATTTTTAAAAGTAGAGTAAAAGTTGACATTCTAATTTCGGACAAATAATCTGAACCTGGCTACGTGCCTTGGTCGAGCATACGGGCTCGTGCTGCGGCGTGAAACAATGTTCCAATTTGCTTTCATAAAACGACATTCATTTGCTTTTTAGAGTTGACCGCAGCGGATGGTCTTCCTTGTTGCCGCAGCGATGTACACTATGCGGTTATAAGAATTCGCGTTAGCTGAAGCGTGGTGAACGCTACGCGCCGACTTACTTTCAATGATGGCATTAGCCGACCTCGGTCACGGGCATGCGATGTGGTATGGTTCGCTTCATTTGTAGCAAACCGCAGTCGTACACTTAAGCTAATCTTCCTCGTGTCACTGAATTTGAACCGAAAAAAAAATGTATATTTGCCACTAATAGGTAGGCAGCTTTCACTTTTCTTATTGCGGCTAATAACATAGAACTTTCGCTAAGGCAGAGGGCTGTTTTATTTATACCTTATATTATAACTTCGAAACTATTTTGGGCAATATTAAGATGTTCAAGTTGCTCCCTGTCGCGCTAGAACTATAGCTTCTACATTTTTTTATAATATGAAGTTACGGGACGAACAAGTCGTGCACCTGATGGTAAGGTACCCGACCGTCCATAGCAACTGCAGTGTCACTCAGAGCTTTAAATTGCAAAGATCTGAGGGGCACTGCCTCTGCGCTCGTCACCCTGGGACAAAAGTTGACAAGTCCCATGTGCCTGTAATTTCACCAGCACCCTTACCCTTCAAAACTGGAACACAGTAATATTGATATTACTGCTTGGCGGTAGAAATAGGTAAAGTGGCTGTACTTCCCTGGACGAACTCTTTCAAAAGGAGCTCTACTGCTACTAAACCACATGCCATATTAGGTACTGAAGTTGATTAAGACAAAAATATCTTTGAATATTTTAATACGGCTAGCAATTAATTTATGGGTGTATATTATTTGTAAGTCAATATTATCTAATAAATGCATCAACGCACTCACACATTATTTAATTAAAACACTGGGCTTTATACTTGCAAACGCAACAGAATTTTTGTAACTTAACAAATAGAATCATAGAATAGAAGAATAGAATCATATTTCATATTATCAATTTCATAATTCTACAATTCGAAATATAATGTCAAGGGATAACATGATCGTCATTAATGTAAACAATAATAATATAAAATAAAATAATTAAAAGAAAAATACGAACTACAAAAAATACAAGTCAAAATAAAATAATTAAATTTTTATTGAATTGATACTCAATTATTTTTTGTGAAATTACTCCACTAGTTTGTTATAATTATTAATACAAAGATCGAACACTCAGAAAAAATTCCTTCGATCCAGTCGGATTCGAACCGATTGGTTTGTTCCGTGGCTTAGTTGATGTAGCGTCTGGCACGGTATGCAAGAAGACGTCGGTTCGAATCCGACCGGATGGAAGGAATTTTTTCTGAGTGTTCGATCTTTGCAATAATAACTATAAAAATTAAATATTTTCAAAATACAAATATCCAAAATTAAAATATAAATACAATTTCTTTAAAGGAAATTCCTCTACACTGTAGAATTCATTATCCAAAAAAAGGTCTTTCAGCCGGGAACAAAACACTTCGTCATTTATAACACTTTTTAGACTTGTGGGTAGGTGTTGTAGGTGGGTAAGTCGTAACATAATCATCCTTCTCATTGATATCCTTACTCCAGTCATAACCAAAATCCTCAACACCTCCATCTCATCTGGTATTTTTCCTACAGCGTGGAAAGATGCCCAAATTAATCCTCTTCCAAAAAAACCAAATCCTTCTTCCTTTTTCGAGTATCGCCCGATATCTATTCTTCCTTTTCTCTCCAAGGTCCTTCAAAAGTTAGTTCATCACCAACTCACTCTTTTCCTTGCACATCACAACCTTTTGAACACATTTCATTCCTGTTTCCGCCCGGGTAGTACGACTACTGCTCTTGTCAAGATTTCTGACGACATTCGATTAGGGATGGACAATCAGAAGCTTACTGTAGTCACATTGTTGAACTTCAGCGTAATGTTTTCAAAACTGTCGATTTTGAAATGTTACTTGTGCTGCTCGGTTCTCTTGGCATTTCATTAACAGTAATTAACTGGTTTCGAAGTTACCTGTATGGGCGTCGGCAGCGCATTCGCTGTGATGATTCACTTTCGAGGTGTAATGTTACTGCTGGTGGTGCTTTTCTGTTTGCTATCTTCATCAATACCATCACCTCTTCACTCACTTTTTCATACCATCTCTGTGCAGATGATCTTCAAATTTATTCACAGGCCACGCTAATTGATTTATCGAATGCCATTAGTAATACTAACAGGGATCTTGAAGGGATTCTCGCTTGGAGTCATTCGTTTGGTCTCAGAGTGAATCTTATCAAGACCCAGGGTATAATTATTGGCAGCTCCGGTTCATATCGCGCATCGATCATAGCTCATTGCCTGCCATCTTATTCGATGGTATTTAAATCCCTATACGGAACACCATTGGGAACCTTGGGGTTACTTTTGATAAGAGCTTAACTTGGAAACCTCAGGTCACTGAGGTTATTAGGAGGATGTTTGGTGCTTAGATATCACTTCGACGCCTGGGGAATTTTTTACCCATTCCGACTAAAATCAATCTGGCACAGTCACTCCTTCTGCCTATTCTTGACTATGCGAATGCTTGTTATTCAGACTTGTCTGAGGGTCTACTCAATAAGCTGGAGCGGTTGCAGAACCTATGCATTAGATTCATTTTTGGGTTGCGAAAATTTGACCATGTTTCAGACTTTCGATTCAAACTTGGATGGTTACCCATTCGTCGTCGTAGAGACTTTCGCGTTTATCCCTTCTATACTCTTTTCTCTTCAATCCCACCTCTCCTCCCTCCCTCAAAGATTGTTTCGTGTATATATATATATATATATATATATATAATAATTGATCTTTCTATACATAAAATAATGTCTTCATGAAGCAAAATATCCTATCTGTAATATTTACAGTACCTACTTTCCCTCCATGTCCCATAGCTGTGGAACGTCCTGTATATAATAAATAAATAAATTTATTATGTACATAATAAATGTAAAACTCATAAAAAAACTATATAGTAAAGCTTGTCACAAATAATTACTTAACTACGCAAATTAATTAAATACATTTGCCTATAGTTGTTCGACAAAAAAAAACCTAACAGCTTCATTAAATCAAAACACACCAATCAGTGAAATTAGTGTTATTACAATGAAATAGCATTATAAAATGTCACGTATAAGATGAGAATAGGCATGAAAATTAAGAAAAACCTGTTCTAATTCTCGAGATAATCGCCAACGCTCCGTTTGCGGTCGGACTAGTCACGAATATACCATTAAATTGATTCCCGCATTATCCGCCTTCGAGAAATTTGTAAAAAAAACACAACCAGAGCATTTACTTTTCTAACTTCTCAGAACGAATTAAATTAGAGGCAGTCTAGTTTCAAAATAATGTTTAAAATCTACATTTTTTCAAAGTTTTTAGTTCTTAAAGTACACAGGGTGAAATCGGATTTATTGCACAGATAAAGTGTTAATTTTGTTTTGTTATAGGTAAGTAGCGTTACAAATTTAAGTTCAATTTCGATTTCGATAAAGCTTTTGATGTGTTGACAAATATGTTTTTTCTACAGATAATATGTATACATAATAATATGTAGTAGTTGGTGACCGAACGATACCTATTACGTGTCGAATGTAAAATCGAGTTCTGACTCCTCCCCTCGGTAACATACGAGTAACATAAAAGTAAATGAAAGAATTCAGAGGTAACAAACAACTAACACTAATGAGTTAAACCATTGCACTGCCGTTTAAAACATATATGTACATTTAAACATAATTGAAAAGATAGCACTGACTATGTTACTTTCAGCCTTTTGTTCTACGTAAGACAAAAGGCCTCGATTCGGAATCTCAAACCTAATTATCCGATAGACCCTGACCGTGACCGAAACGCAACCAATTTGAAACTGACTAGCAGGCCGAATTGAAAAGTAGGCCTGGGCATATTAACGATCTATGTCAAGAAAATTTTACTAGGAATGATCGTGCTAAGCGTTAGTATATTTTTTTTATGAAGTCAAGCGACAGGACGAAGCAGTCGTGCGTTTTATTAATGCTAAGCGACATGATTGTCCATGACAGTTGCTATGTTACTCAGAGCTTTAAATCGTAAAGATATGAGGGATACCGCCACTGCGCCCGTCACCCTGAGACGTAAGTTGACAAGTCCCATGTGCCTGTAATTTCACCAGCACCCTTACCCTTCAAAACCGAAACGCAGTAATATTCAGATTACTACTTGACGACAAAATAAGTAATGTGGCAGTATTTACCTAGATGCGCTCTTTCACAAAGAGCTCTACTGGTACTAAAACAGACAAGTAAAAGTAGTAACGAATGTTTGGATACATTCTTTCAAAATTTTCGTATGTACAAAATTAGAATCGTTGCAACTTCAGAGGTATAAAAATACAGCGTAACTGAAACTTGACTGGTTTATTTTATTCACAAATATAAATCCGACATGCGACAAATTTATACGATAAATTTCAAATATCGTCAGCTTATTGCAATAAGTCATTAATTGCCATATAAATTATATGATACAAGATACGAACTAAGTTGGATATATAAATATGAACATTTACACAGAGAAATTATTTACCCAGAAATTCATAATTCGACACTGCTAGCTTAGCAAATGTATTCATGCATGGCAGTTTATGTAGGTCAATGCTGATCTCGGATAAAATACTCGGATAAAAGCTCTTTAATGAAAACTCTTTGCTACAGGTCCAGAGTGTGTTCACGCAAGATTACGATGGTAAGTGAAATACATTTAGGCTCCTTTTGTGTACCCCTACATATTATTATACGGAATAAAGAATAACTTATATGGAAATAATTTTAACTAAAATAACGGATAACTCACATATTTAAGTCGAAATTTTGCTCGACATGCGCACCCCTTAAGGAAGAATGGCGTAAGTGAAATTACGTCAAACATTAAATACAGAAAAATATAACCTACATCCTCTCCAATTAAATAGGATGGAGGTTATATTTTCTGTATCTAATATACAATTGGAGAGGTTGTGGGTTATATTTTTCTGTATCTAATGGAGCAATAAACATGTTTGACGTAATTCCACTTATGCCATTTTTCCACGAGGGGTGCATTGTTTCGAACCAATTCGTGATCCTTAATCATGAGATTCCGCAGCAGGATTGCACACGTATACACTGCGTATGACTTCAATAAAAATGAGGCAAACGAGGGTAGTTTCTCGCCGACGCCGCCTGCGTCTGTAGCCGTACTGAGTGATCGGACGGCCAGCGCTTTGGCGCGCAGTTTCCATCGAGTCACCGCTGCGGAATCTCATGATTAAGGACCACGAATTGATTCGAAACATGTCGAGCAAAAATTCGACTTAAATACGTGAGTTATCCGTTATTTTACTTAGTATGTCTGAGTTTTACGGTGGTTTTCTATTTAAAATTGAAATAATCATGAAAACGTTAGGGAAAAGCTAAGAAACGTAAATTAGAATTCAGTTGAGATCGGCACTGTTTACATGACATTGTAAATCTTTTCCAGTAACAGACATCCAATGCACATTTTCGAGTGGAGGAACAGGCATAAGAGACTCTGTGTCGGCACTTCTGCGCAAACCCGAAGGTTTTCGAGGGGCTCCATTGTTTGCCGACGATCGTGCTACAGACCCTGTCGTAGACCCCGTCTGCCAGATCAGGCCAGAACCAGAAGACCCTACTGGGCTGCTGTATAGATTGCGAATCACTGACTTTACAAGATGTGGTGTCTTAAAAAGAAATGTAAGTGTAATAAAAATAAGTACTAGTAGGCAATTTACCGATAGTAAAGCTGCGCCGAAGTTGAGCATGAGTGTTGCCAAGTCGCAAAATATTATTTAATAAAAAAGGTAATACTAAATTGTGCTTTGGTATAGGTAGAAGATTGGAGCTCTTTATACACCGCTAGACATGGTTGTTTCATGAGATCTCACAACTTTACTACGAGTTGAAAATAGAGTTTAAATAAGATTTACTTATAAGTGAATTAGGTTAAGAAAGATATTTTTTATACTAACGGCATTCATTTAACAACTGTACCTCAAAAGCACCAATCTGACTAAATAACTCTCAGCCAACCGAAACTTGACAACATCAAATTGCCTATGTCAAGATAATAAATAGAAATGGTAAGAACACCTAAAATTGCTTTGTAATAGTGTCGTTACCTGATTGTTGACAGCATCATTACTTTTTATTTTCATTTTATGCTGTACAATATTTGTAAAATAAGAGTTTCAAGAATTTCTTAACATTTTGTCACCTGTTTTTGTCACCATGCGCTTGTTTTTCGTCCCACTATATTCATAATAAAGTCAATTTTTCTCGGCACTATGTCGTTACTGATACATTTACAAACCTGTGATTTTATACATTTGTTGTTGCAGTCTATTATTTTATAGACGTTCTTCCAGTAGGTCACTCTCGTTTCAGTTGAAACTAATCATTTCCGCACGCACAAAGCATGAAAAAACTTTCGATTTTAAACGCTTAACACATATAAATAAGAGCCAGTCTATAGTTGTAAGTATATGCAGAGCTACATGCAAGTAAATCCCGCTATGTAATATGCTTACAATGTACCATTTGACACAATTACCCACCCAATAACTTTCTCTTTATTCCTGGAACGGTTTGTGTTGATTTCTCAAAATTGTTCTTTGAAATTGTCTCTCACATACGCGTTGTGTCATCGGTGTATAATAACGGATGCCGTTAGTAACAGTATGGAGTATGTACTTACAACTTCGAGTAGAGTGCACAACGAGGCTCTTAGCGTCTCAGGTGGTGTATTATTAGCCCCACCGGTACCCTGGTGGGTATTGAGGTGAAGAGAAACTGAGACGATGTCAATAGCGAAGTGCAACAGCGATTAAATCGAAATGCAATAGGTTGTTGCGTTGTTCAATTAACTACTTACTCTAATAGCTCGGCTTGTTGCGCCTTCACTCACAATCAATTACTATTATGTTATGAATCTTACTCGTAATTGTTCACGAGTTGACGCGTTCTATCATTTACCAAGTTACGCAACATATTTAACGTAAAATCAGTAGACAAAAACTTTGATCACTCTACATTAGAATCCCTACTCAACATAGTTAATGTAAAAATAATTAGAATGCTTCTTGTTTTTGCTGGGATTTGCTCGCGTTGAATTTTCTAAGAGTGGTTACACACGGCGACATTTAGCAGCGATGCAAACGCACATTCGTGAATAGGGACGTGGAAAAAGTATCGATACTTTTTGGTATAGAGTATTTTTCCTTCCGATACCGATACTTTTTGGTATCGAGTAATTTTCCTTCCGATACCGACTCTTTTGTACTCGATACTTTTCAGGTATTAGTACTTTTTGACAAGTATCATGTCGTCTTGAATAATTCCTACTTAGGATACCTCACATCGTAACGTAAGCCACCTTGCGATTTTTTTTAAATGGTGACCTACATCACAAATGACTTGTCTGTATAGTGTATGCCACCATTTGCTTCGTTAAAAGAATAAGAATGAAGAAAAATAATTAGAAACATTTGAATCGTACCTGAAAACATTATTGTATTTTATATTTGAGTACTTCGCAATTCCGGCGAAGTTTGTTCTTTCTTCAGAACGTTTGTTCTCAAAAGCTAGCAATACAGTATCAAAAACGAGACACAGACTGTTACCAAATACATTTTTGTTTCAAAGTGACTACACAGAGGTGGAGTGGGAAATTTAAGTAACACAAATTATGTGAAATGACGATTGATTGTATTGATCGAAAGTATTATACTTTTGTTTCGATACTTTTATAAGTACGATACGTTTTTTGAAATACTACTCATGAGTAGAGTATCGTTACTTTTGATTCGATACTGTGTCCCTATTCGTGAAACGCGCGATTGTATAGCTACACTTGCGATTTATAGACGATTGCATCGATGCAAACGCGCGATTGCATCGATGCTATCGTCTCTATATCCCAAGTGTATCGATGGAGTCGCACGCTTGCATCGCTGCTTATTAAAATCGCGCGCGTGTAATCGCTCTAAATGACAATTACGCCCTTTGTGAAAATACGGAACATTTAGTAGGTTTTTTTGATACCAAGTAACCGGACGTACAAGTCGTGGACCTGGTGGTAAGCGACACGCCTGTCCATAACAGTTGCAGTGCCACTCAGAGCTTTAAATCGCAAAGATCTTAGACGCACTGCCACTGTGACGTCACCCTGATACATTACACGCAAGTGTTGACAAGTCCCATGTGCCTGTCATTTCACCAGCACTCTTACCCTTCTGAGCCGGAAAGTTGTAACGCTCACATTACTGCTTGGCGGCAGAAATAGGTCAGGGACTGATGATGAAATGAACTCTTATTACGATTCAGTTTAGGACCTAAAATGAATCGTAGCGAGACAGCGCTACATGAAATGTATATCACCATCCCGCTTTTTTGTCTTTACGAGCCTGTACTGAATTGTAATAAGAGTTCATGGTAGGTGGTAGTAGTTGCCTGGATGAATATTTCACAAGGAGCTCTACTGCTACTAAATTAGTACGTATAATATCATTGAGGTACATGCTTAAAGAAACTCAAATATCCCTAGGGCTTCGTGCATGTCCGTGTATGGTTCCCGCAATTCCCTGGCGTAGTAATGCAGTCAGACCAGGAACTCATCATCATGTGCAAGCCACCTGAGCCGACCATCATCGAAAACAAGGCTGCTGGATTTGCAGGCAGCTTGTAAGTATTACAACAAATCATTTCATTTTTCAGAATCAATCAATCATTTCAGAGCATGTCAAGCTTGACACTTTGTACTTTGGACTGTTCTTATCGTAAGCGGCATAAAGTTGGATTTAAATTTTAAGTGTCAAGCTTGACGTGCTGTTGACCCTGTATACCTAAACGCTCAGTGTAGATTGTAAATATAATGAAAGCATCGCGTTCCAATTTAGTGCTGTATATTCTATATGCCCATAGGGTATTCATACAAACGTGATGGCGTACTTGCTTTGGTTTGAAACATGTAATTATATTTAGTAGATTTTATTGAGAAACAGGCAACCGATCGCCCGCAATGGAGATCATTTGTGGCAAACAAAATGTCACAATTTGAGACCCGTCGATGAATTGAGTTGCACGTCATACGTGACGAGCTGAAAGCCCGACTACCTACGGCGATCAGCTACCACTACATTGACGGTGTGTACACGGGTGTGTGCGGACGGATCATTACTAACAAGATTGGGTACCTACGTGAAGCACGTGAAAGCGCACGAGTTGTTGGTGGCAACAGTGGTGTTGAAAACGGTTAGAAGAATTCATCATCATTATCACATTTTATTGTTACCGTTTGCTGGGTTTATATGTTACATTATAAGTTTTCTTCCAAACGATACAAAATTGGCGCCCGGGAGGTTTCATCCTTTTTAAAACGGATTTCAAATATTTAAAAAGTGCACAACTTGCTAAACTCCACTCGTAAGGTCACGTCTGAAAGGATTTTGAAATCTATGCAGTCTTGCGTGCAAGCAAGGACTTTTAAAATCTCGACATTATCCTAAGCATCTCTCTGATTTGTCGATTGAAAACATCCACGCTGCACACGCAGTACCTAATGCTTTATATAATGTTGTTGAATGATTCACATACGATTTCCATCCTATAAGCTGACAACACGCTCGCAAGCATAATGTCAAAGTTAAAATATTTTTTCCTTTCATTTTCTTTACCATCGAGGAGACGACTTGGATCCTGGAGCGACCACTCGTTAGGACCGACACTGGCATATCAGAAAGGATGACATACTACATTGTACATTACGTTGATTAAATGACGAATGGTTAACGCCTATTAAAGAAGAAGAAGAATTATTATATTATGAAAAAGCCTATACTATACTATAGGACGGGAAAAATAACAAAAACAGAGTGTACTTGATTATCGTCCGCCATATTTAAAAAAATATTATTATTAATGTGTTTGCCTTCGCCTGTAGCCAATGAAAGGGTTGGTAGAGCAGAATTACAGATTATGGAAAAGGTACGGAATTTGAATGAAAAAAGGATATAGTTAGATTGTGTGAGTAACTATTAAGTTATACATCGACATACATATTAAAGCTTGATATTACTATTTTCGATAAACAAGGTCAGTACATTATATACATCTGTGTTACATATTTATAACAAGATTCATAAAGGGCATCATCATCATGTCAACCGGAAGACATCCACTGCTGAACCCCCAAAGATTTTCAGACCAGCCGATCGGACGTGACCTGCATCCATCGGTTACCCGCCGCCCTTACCATCCGCCATTAGCCCATTAGCCCAGGTCATCCGTCCAGCTAGTGGGGGGGGGGGGGGCGTCCCACTGAACGCCTTCCGGTTCGTGGTCTCCATTCAAGAACCTTTCTGCCCCAACGGCCGTCAGTTCTATGAGCTATGTAGCCTGCCCACTGCCACTTCAACTTGTTAATCCTTCAAGCTATATCGATGACTTTCGTTCTTCTACGGATTTCCTCATTCTGATTCGCTCACGTAGAGAAACGCCAAGCATTGCTCGCTCCATGGTTCGTTGAGTGGCTTTGAGCTTCTTTATGAGGCCCATAGTTAGTAACCACGTCTCAGAGCCGTAGGTGATAGTTGGCATCACGTACTGCTCGAAGACTTTTGTATTCAAGGACTGCGGTATTGCGGACGAGAAGACGTCCCAGAGCTTCCCGAAAGCTGCCCAACCGAGTCGGATTCGACGATTGACCTCTTTCTCGACGTTGGCCCTGCCTAATTGGACGGTTTGTCCGAGGTAGAGATTTGGGCGGTGCTGCAGTCTCTACAACGGTGCCACATTGACTATGAATATATCGAAGTGTTTGTACAGAAACGCCACTATGTCACTTCGACTCCAGGACCAGTGCACAAGGCCTATCCAAATGCAAAGAGGAGTGCGACAGGGTGACGTCATTTATCCGAAACTTTTCACCACTGCATTGGAAGATGCCTTCAAGTTACTGAACTGGAAAGGACTCGGCATCAACATCAATGGCGAGTACATCACTCACCTTCGATTTGCAGACAATATCGTGGTCATGGCAGAATCGTTGGAAGAGCTTGGTACCATCCTCGGTGACCTCAATAGTTTCCCAGCAGGTGGGTCTAAAAATGAACATGGACAAGACGAAACTTATGTCGAATGTCCATGTCGTACCCACCTCTATAACAGTGGGAACCTCTACTCTCGAAGTTGCTGACGAGTAAAGGGCATCGCCACTAAGAAAAAAGAAGCATATTTTCAGAAGATTCCCTGATCTATGTACCTAAATATAAGTAGGATGTACATAATTAAGTTTAAGTTGGACCTAAAGTTACAGAAAACATATCACATGTATATTTTTATAGTCCCCACGGCGCTCGAGTCTCGGGCGTAGTAGAAGAGACCCCAGGACGTCTAGAATATGAAGTGGCCCTCTACAAAGAAGCGCCGCCTGTTTCGCGCCACTCCAACCATTCCGTTGATTTGCCCGTCGATCAGGTAACTGCTGTACGTTCTAATTATAAGCACTTTTATTAGACAAACGTGCACTGATACATTTATTAACAAGCTGTGAAACAATAATAATACTTATTTGGTTTATATGTGTGTCACGTGACACGCTACGAAGTACATACATTAAACACTGTCGATATCCGAAAAAATCTCTAAATACGAGCTTAAAAGTATAATGAAGCAGAAGTATTTATGGTCGGCTAAATTTGAATCCTTTTTAATCGACTTCAAATAGGACACACACAATTGTTACATACAAACAAAAATACAGGTTAATAAAAATGGAAGTAAATTAATTTGCTACTCCGCGAACCCAGTGATAGTTAAATCGTGCAAAATAGATGCGCTTGTGTTGAATATTTTTTCATGCATTTAATTATCCTCCCTCCGCATAAAATTAATAAAATAAATAACACAAGCGCAAGTAAAGTTACAAACCATCACCAAAAATGTAGTCAGTGCCCCTCAGATTTTTGCGATTTAAAGCTCTGAATGGCACTGCAACTGTTATGGACAGGCGTGTAGCTTACCATCAGGCGCACGACTTGTTCGTCCCGCCATCTTATATTTTAAAAAAACCTATGAAATAAAGGTGTAATCATAGATTGAGATTATTTCTAGTATTTACTGTTTTTTTTGCCTACTCAAAAATTCATATTTATAATAAAAATAAATACCTCCGTACGAGGTTTACGAATTTAACCAACGTTATGCATATTATGCCTCAGTCGTCAAAGTACCCGTGTCATAACGATATAAGGTAGAAATTAGTGAGTCATTGTTTGGTAGATAGCTGACTTTAATGTACTTGGAAAACTTATTAATGTTAATTAATTACGTGTGTTTTTTTGCTATCTTATACTATTCCATCATTTAATTGCTTGCCATAAGACGTGCCTGAATGTCGAAAAACTATTTGATTGACATGTGGTATATCACTTGATTTCAGGCAGTTCCGATAGGAACAAAATTGCAGCTTCGTGCACGCATCAACCCAGAGTCAGCTTGGCGGCATATTAAGCTTCTGGAAGTTGCAGTCTCTCCTGATCCTGATAGGCCTCATGCTCCAGGAGCAGTTCTACTTGTGAAAGATGGGTAAGAATTTTTATATACATCCAAATCGTTACCGTAATTTACCAGAACACTTCAGTGCCTACCTAACCCAACCCATCGCAAATGAACGAAGTCAGTAAACGAAGTCACCATCTATGTTAAAAGCATACAGATAATCCACAATTTTTGTTCAGGAATCCAGGCTCCCATACTGATGTAAAAGACGATGGTCAATATTTTTTGTATCAAAGCAAACGATTATGATTGTATCTAATTAGGAAATGTCGAAACTGTTAATAAGCAAGAAAATTAATAAGCATGCGGTATTTACTACAGATGCAGAAATCGCGACTTTGCCTCAATCATACCACACCAGCCTGCTCGTTACCGTGAGCGTCATAATGAAGTCTTCTTGGATTTCGAAGCATTCCTTTTAGCCTCTATGAAAGAAAGATCTACTCTTTGGATCCACTCGCAAATCAAAGCGTGTATGGAAGCTGCTGATTGCCAACCCGATTATTGCTTGGACTTGTTTGAGCCTTCAGGTAAGTGATTAAGTAGGTACTCTTTGGAACTATCGAAATAAATAAATAATAAATATTAGACAACGTCACATACGTTGCTCTGATCACAAAATAAGTAGCTAAAGCACTTGTGTTATGGAAATCGGACACAACGACGGTACCACAAACACCCAGACCCGAGATCATATACAAAAGTTAGTTTCTGCACTGACCCGGCCGGGGATCGAACCCGGGAAAGCCTTTAGAGATGAATGCTAAAACATGAACGTTTTAGAAACATTCTGCCAGTATCTCATCGCTGCCGTAGATCTTTAACATCGTTAGCTAGAATAGTTCGACTTCAGTGACAGTAGAGTTTCCCGTGAATGAGTTCGTCCTGAGAAGTACTGACACCTTACCTATTTCTGCCGCCAAGCAGTAATGTCAGCAAAACTGCATTTCGGTTTAGAAGGGTAAGAGTGCTGGTCAAATTACAAGCACATGTGACTTGTCAACGTATGTCTCAGGATGACGGGCGCAGTGGTAATGCCCCTAAGATCTTTGCGATTTAAAACTCTGAGTGGCACTGCAACTGTTATGGATAGGTGTGTCGCTTACCACCAGGCACACGACTTGTTCATCCCGTCACTGATATTACAAAAAAAATATTAAGTACAATGTACCTACATTCGTCTTAAGTGTATAACCATTCAATGTCTTCAGGTCATGGCCGTCGCAGAAGAGCAATACCTGAAGCGTCTCTCGCTCGCAACGTGAGCAGTGCAGAACTAATCGCCGAGAACCATTCAACTCCGTTCACGAGATTCAAAGAGAACCTAGAATACACGGTAGTGATGCCAGGAGAACTATTTCATCGAACGCCGTTGGAAGCGACATGTGCGACATCTATGATGATTGCAGTTGCTCTTGGAACACTGCTTTTTATGTCTGCACTCCTAGTAAGTTAATTGATCTAGTTCACTGCATATACATAGGTACATAATTATGCCCTAATGGTCAAGAGTCACGTTCAATGAGAGAGTTTGAGTCATAGTCCACCACGACCAAAGCCAATTGGGGACTTCACACCATCAATCATACGATACGAACATTATACGAATTTAGTACCAGAAGAGCTGCTTGTGAAAGAGTTCGTCCAGGGAAGTACTGCCATCTTACCTATTTCAGCCACCAAGTAGTAACGTCAGCATTACTGTGATCTGGTTTTCAAGGGTAAGGGTGCTGGTGATTTCACCAGTTTTGGAAGGGTGCCTGTAATTTTACAGGCACATGAGATTTGTTAACTTATGTCTCAGGGTGATGGACGCAGTGGCAATGCCCCACAGATCTTTCTGATTTAAAGCTTTGAGTGGCACTGTAACTGTTATGGACAGGCGTGTAACTTACTATCAGGCGCACGACTTGTTCGTCCCGTCACTTGATAGGATATAGAAAAAAAACCTCCGACACAGCACTTCACCTTTAGAATACCTAGGGGTTAATTAGTAAATTCAATTAAGTTTGGAAACGCTTAGTGGTTCGGGCTTTTCTCTTGGTAATGAATTTTGGAGGCTGGTAGGTATTCTTCCAGCTAGGCTGATTTCGTTTCTAGTCAATCTAGAAAGCTTGCTAGGGAATATGCGTAGGTACATCATTCGAAATGAGAAGATAATTTCCACCTCTTTGTTTCCACAGATGTGTTATTTAGCAACAAAACTGAACTCTACGATACTCAAGCACAACAGTTTACATGCACCTTCTGGAAAGGGTTTCGAACAAATCCTTCGAGAGCTAGCGCAACATTCACTCCCTGACACAGGCTACACCGGCCGCCCCACCGTGCAATGATCGTCCTACCAGTATTCACAATTTACATAGTTTTAATAACACGTAAGACTTCTCTGTGTAATTATTCTACATTTTTGTAACTACGTTAATAACCTCATTGACTGTACTGCATTGTATTGGTAGTTTTAAAGACATAAGTATAAAAATTAATTTTGCTGACGCTCTCTCCCAAGATGACAATTGTGTCAATCTAACTTTAGGCTACCTCCTAGGTTAATGTAATTTTAAAATATATTTCATTATTTATAACAGTAAATTATTAATTTTTATCATACATAAAACAAAGAAACTTATGACTGAAAAATCTCAGGTCATTTTCAACGACGTACAGGCTTTGATGATGCAAACTTTTTCAGTCATGACTGTCGCTTTATGGAATAGCCATTGTTATTAGAAAAGTATTTGAGATATTGTGTAAAATTCTAGCTAAGAATACCGTAAGAATAAATTTTTTAAAGTATTTTGTTCTTTCATAATAATATAATTTGCCCCAAAAGCATTTAACCACTTGCGTAACGTAACATAAAAAAATACTGTCAAATTGACATTGACATGTTTGCAAACACCGTGGGCCCTATGAATTATTACCCGGGACTTTGCATAGATTCAACAAAAAAAAACGCCTAAAATATGAGTAAAAGGGCTTCGGTGAAGATGGTAGCAGAAACAGCTAATGCAAAGAAACCCAAACATTGGTCCCGAGGTCTCGTGGAATCTATAAACGATCCTGAAACAATAGTGAAGAAAACCAATAATATAGTTGTTATTAATGATAAGTACCCAAAAGCTAAAATACACTATTTAGTACTACCAGAAGATAACATAAATAGTATTTATAAGCTAAATAGTTCACATGTGCGTTTGTTGGAAGAGTTTGGAAAGCTTTATGAAGAAATTAAGGCAGAACATAAGGATCATAACCTCCGAGCCGGATTTCACGCCGTTCCAAGCATGCAACGATTGCACATGCATATCATCAGCACGGACATGATTTCTCCATGTTTGAAAACAAAAATTCATTGGAATAGTTTCACGACGAAATTCTTTTTACCATATCAAGGTAAGCTAATAGAAATCATCGCCTTACTTTCCCAAACTCGTGTCTTAAAGCACAAAGTTACTGAAATGCAAAAAATGGATTGTGTATAAAAATTTTGCAGGCTAATTTCACATCATATTTACACACTACATTTTACCTATTCTTAAAGTAATGCATTAACACCCTTGATAAGAAATTTAAAATGAATAGAAAGTTTTGCATCTCCTGAATAATCACTCTATAAAACTTACTCTCTAAAGACAATATACTTACTATAAATAGATAATTTGAGAAAGTAAGGCATCGAAATTATAGCATAAAAATAAGTTCTATATATAGTCTGTCATTTTTGGAGACAAAAGCGCAAAAGTGTTGCCCGCTTGTGAGCAACCAGTGATTGCAGTTGTTAAATACTCTATTGACTGAATATTGGTCACACTTATAGAATATATAGCCAAACTTGTACACAAATAAATTTGAATCATCCTATTATTATTAACACCTATTATTCATCCAATTACAGAGCACAAGTTCATTTGATTGTCAATTTTTGTAAGTTCATACATACATACACTGTATTTAAAACTATGTTTATGAAAAACACAAAGAAGAGACATTTTTCATTTTAATTAAATATATATAATCAAATCCAGCTATTCTTGTTAAAATGTATATGAATAAAAATTGATCTGTATACTAGTAGGCCAATTGTCACAATAAAAATAGAGAAGGCAATAATGCAATTATTAGAATCTCGTAACATTCACAATTCAGTAATTTTTGTCAAAATTTTATCTTTCACAATATATCAATAAAACTATTGGCAATGACTACACAACTATTGAAAATTTGATGAAAACTGGCAACCCTACAAATGTCATTTTACACTGTCTTCAAAAAAGACAGACTATAGTGCAATTTCTATTTTTTTAAAGTTGATTGGTTATTTTATTTTGTCAGCATATTCAATTGGAATAGTCTATTAATTTGTTTCCATCTGATTATGATTGTTGCTAACTATAATTTCATTTGCAAGTACAAGTAAACTCAATCACACAGTCAGTTTTAAATTACAGAATTCTTTGTACAGGGTCAAGAGCATGTCAAGCTCATGACACTCAGAGCATGACACTTAAGATTTAAATCCAACTCTATGCCGCTTATGGTAAGAATGGTCCAAAGTGTCAAGCTTGATGTGCTCTTGACTGTACATGCTGTGGCCTGCATATTTAAACAATAGTAAACTTCTGCACTTTCAAAATAGAAATGCACTAACAGTTGTCAATATAAATTGTACAGTGCTTAATGACCATGGTTTATCATATTAAGTACCCAAAAATAAATAAAACCTGACAAAATTTTTTTGGTATAAAATGATGTGAAGCTCTAGTTTTCTCTTTTGCAGATGTTCTAGAAGAATTAAAAGAAAATGGCACAATTAAAAAGATAACAAATGAACAACACAAAAGTCTAATGTCTTCTCCTCTGAAATGCAACCAATGTGATCACATATCTAAGAATATGCCTCAACTTAAAGAACACTTGATATCTCATGTTAAGTAGTAGTGTATGGGAGAATATGCTAATAAAATGCTACTAATTATGGACTATCCCAGAACTGTTTCTTTTTTTTCAATTGTATGACAAACAAGTTTTCTATATCTTCAATACAATTTTGATAATGTATCTAATAAATCAATCAGCTGCAGTAAATAACACTAAGGGTCGTATTCCAGACCTCTACTCAATGCTCAAGTCAGGATTTGATAAAACTTGAGTATGATTTCAAGCACTGGAAATACTACCCTAACGGCAAGGACTTGAGTATGATTTTCAGTGCTCACTGCAATACTCAAGTCCTGACAGTCCAGCATTCTACTTTGGAGCCAACATACACATTAAATTAAAATTATCATCCATTTCTCTATATTATTCTGTAATAAATTAAATTGTTAATAGAAAAATAAAAGTCATAAAATTGCACATTTTATTATGTCCGTGAAATCACAAAGATTTACATATTATAAGATTGTTTCATCAAAAAATACAGTGGACAATTAATTTCATACTATGTCACTGCACTCATTGACCTACTACCAATGACTGCACTAAATCAATTTTGTTATTAAAAAATGTATAGTCTATCTATTATCATAAATACAATATCAATACAAGATATAAAAATTAAACATACACACCTAGACACAATTGTTTTAAAATTTACAATTTACTGTACATTTCCCATATAAGGCAATTTATTGGACTTTGGACAGTCAGAACCTAGTAAAGAATTTGGAGTAATACTGACACTAACATCTTCATCAGTAGTGTACATGGCCAAGTTCCGTCTCTTGAAAGATTTTTTAGGTGTACTGGACACTGGAGTACTGCATTCTACAGTTGTACTACATGTACTATTGGATAACATAGATGAATTCTCAGGAGAAAAAAATGAATTTTCATGACTGTCTGATAAATCTTGACTGTCATTTACAATAGGCGTTGAAGGTGTAGGTAATACCATCTTTGTTTTAATTGGTGAACAGGCAACACTTTCTACAAAACTAGATTCAGCAGTCTTATCCTTTTTGTTATTTGTTGTACTTGTATTCAGATTTTGAGGCTTTTTCATTACCCTTCCTGACCTTGCCATTACAACTTGAACTGGGTCATCAATACCCAATTTTTCACAAAGATTTGCTGTCTGGGGATTTATTATTGGCTCACTAGGATTTCGTTTTGGCATGTCTTGTTGATAAATAGGTGCTGTTTGGACAAAACTGTTTTCTTTTATTTCCATATCTCCCATTACTTTCATAACGACATCTTTTTCTTCTTTTGTAGGTGTGAAATCATACCTGGAATATAATAATGAAGACAATGAAGGCAAAAAAGAAAATAACCATTCATATCTTAATAATTATCATAAACATAGTTCAGTGATAGATACAAACCTTTCGTCACCTCCCGGACCAGGTAAATGGTAATCCATGTTTTTGACATTCAAAAGGTGATTAGTATTTTTCAAAACCGCAAGCCATTCTGCATCATACTTCAATGTCATATCACCATCAAATTCCACAGGTATGTCAAGTATTTGCAAGTGTCTTCGTTTTGGTAGACACTTGTCTAATGCCAAGAATTTGGTTTCTGTACCATCTTCATGTGATACTAAAGCAGAGAACTGACAATGTAAATGTGCTGAAAACCAATAATCTGGTTTCATGGCATGAAGCAATTTAGTTGCTGGTGCACTGCCTAGTTCATTTTTTTGAATGTCCTCTCTGGAGCAAAAAGAAAGTTTTAATTTGTTTTTCTTTTCTATTCTACACAATAATGTTACTTATTTTGATACTTACTCGAAAAATGGTTTTCTCTTCAACAAATTGTTAACATTTCCGTAATCAGTTATACCACGTGGCCAATCATGAGAGAGCATAACATGTACTTTTTCTTTCAGCTGGTTCAACCGAAACACATCCAAAGACCTCACATGGTACACGGATCGCAAAGAGCTCTGATTGTAGGGAACACTCTCCCATAACCCTTGCGTGTAGTCGTGACCTTTGAATATACCTGATAAGCCTGAAAATTCATACTTTCTATTAGACTTAGTTCACAATCTGTGCACAATTTAAATCATAAATTCTTGTTACCTACAGCGAATGGCAAAGGTCAGTGGTCAACCCTAGTAATTTACATATTTGAACTTATGATAGTCTTAAATTTTAACAATTGCTACACATTTTTTAGATTTAAATTAAAAAATACATTTTATTTTGTTTCTTAAAACAAGCCAATGTTTCAGGCTCTTTACTGGTCTCATTTTCAATGACAAAGTTTTTTCACTTTTCAATAATAATAAAAATAATAATAACGCACACACTCAACATATTTTAGCCTATTTGATTATTATTAGCAGCTAATTTCAGCAATAATACCAACGCACATTGTAAATTATTACAAAATACATTAATTTTTCAGCTGTGGCTTGCGTGGATCTGTGCCCAGCCTTATATCAGTTCTTAAGGATGGCCAAAAAAGTCCACTGAGGAAGAGTTAAGATAGACAAGGTGAATGAGAGAAAGGGCCTGGGCCTGTGGGTGCCGAGGTCTCTAAGTCTGTTGAATATCAATCTATTGTGCAAAATACTACCAGCCTTCTTGTAATCCTAAGACTTTGGTAATTGTAGCATAGCCTAGCACCACACGGTGTCCCAAATATGCAGCTCTATTTATGTCTGCTCTTTTCAAAATTGGTAAATTAAAAAAAATAACTGAATAAAGGACTAGCAGAACTTAGTGGAAAATCTGATACTGGAGAAATACTTGGCACTGCCAATAAGTAAAAAAAATAAAAAATATTTCACCAAATTAGTAACACCACATGTCTCTGGGACGCATGACAGGTTAAATTCATTTCACATATCCAAAAATGTTAGATTTACCTCCAATCCTCAAGTTACCAAACTGTACCAACCCCGACCTGCCTAGGTAGTATATGTTTGGTGCAACCCACCCTCCGTAAGGAAGCTCTTGCAAATAATTGGAGGCCTCATGATTCCCACCAATAAATAGCGTCAATATTGGTGCTCGTTTTTCACCACTGTAATACCTGAAAATGTGTTATCTCAATCGTGAATAACTGTATGGCATTTTTATATATTTTTGAAATCTACTTATACGAGACTTATACTTACTTATAAAATGTACACATGTGTTGATACTTTTCCGGCACAGCCATAGCCCGCAGATCATCGCTATTCCGTACTGCTTGGAAATCTCCACAACATATCAATAAATCTACCACTATACCTTCCCTTTCTTGTAAAGTTAAGATGCATTCGTAAATCTTATCGAGCTCGCCGTGAGCGCAACCTTCCACGGCAATTTTCATAATTGTAGAATGGCTAAATTGCACCAATACTAATCTTGTTTAAATATAATATCAAGTAAATATAAAACGTAATCGTATTAGTAAGTAATTAGAAACATGTGTATTTCTTTCATAATAATTCAGAAAAACTATTCAATAACACAATACCAAACGACTACGTTCTATTTAGGTTGTTTTAGTTGTTGCGACAATCTGCAATGTAAGCGAACGAAAATAACAGTACATGCTCTGACAACAGGATAGCACGTCTTAACTTCACGTGAGAAAAAAGAGACAGGTATATTTTTCAAGTGACAATCCAATGGAATTTATTGTTTTGACATACAGAGAACATTGTTGCTATATTTAAAAATAGTTCTAACCTATATTTTACAGATAATAAAATATAACGATGTAATAACGATAAAAAATAATAGGTTCTGGTAATCAGTTACACCAATAGATGGCAGGCAAAGCTTTTTATAATTAATTGGGTGTATCAACTTAATAATATTCTTACTGCTGTGCAGGGGTCTCCTTTAATGCGGCTACAACGTTCGTTTAATGCACATTGAGGACTTACTACAACTTTGAAATGTTTTATGACCTTGTGACATGCAGGATTCATCACGATGCTTTCCAATAAATTATAATAAGATCAATAAATTGAGTTGAATTCCTTCACCAATGTAATATAATAGTAAAAAACGAGTAACACTAATCTATAGAAAATATTATTAGGCGTTAAATTGTACATATTAAATATGTCCAATTAGACAAAAGTATGGCGAGTGCCAGAAGTGAATTTGTTTAGGGATACCTAAATCGAAGAGCTGGGTCGAAAATTATTATGAATGCTGTTTTTTGAACATAAGCTAAATATTCAATGTTGTACAGTAAACAACCAAAGAAAAACGAATGTTCCTAAAAGCTAATGGGTGCTTGGTTCCAATAAAGTTGAGTTTTAATTTGATAGTAGATAAGTAAGTTAAAGAAATTATACACCTAAACCTTCCTCATGAGTCACTCTGTCTATTGGTAGAAACCGCATGAAAATCCGTTTAGTAGTTTTTGAGTTTATCGCGATCAGACCGACGGACAGACGCGGTAGTGATATTATGTAGTGATTATTCATTACATTATAGATATGTAACATATCTATATTTTATTATTTTATAAAATGTACGAAAGTTGTACATTGTATGTACTAAAAGCTGGCCGCCCTACGTCCGGGCCTACTGGGCCTTAGGGCAAATCCGCCACTGTATAATAGGTTTTATTTAATACATTGCCTGACTGTTTTAGGCATTGCCTAGAATACCTAGGTATATGATATAGTGAAAATAATTTGAGGCATAACTTAAATAGAACATTACACAGCTTGACATTTCATTATAGTAAATTTCATTTTATGGATACTAATAATTTTATTAGTAAATATTTTTATTTGACTAAAGATAGGTATTATCTTACTAGTTATTTTAGGAGACAGATAGCAGAGTTGCTATCATATTATATTAATAATTCAGCCAAATCATTGGCTACCAGACCGGCTGCTTCTATTGAGCAGTCCGTTGACATATGTCAGTTTACTGACAATAATCATTCTGTTGAAAATAATTCAACTTCTAATTATTTAAATTAATTAATAAGACAACGAGAGATACTCTTGCAACACAATGACAGTAAAAAACCAACCTAAAACACACAGAAATAAAATAAATTTTATATTAAACCTGGAGCATCAAAATATTCAAGGCATGAAAGGCAAAGAGTTAGAAATAGAATTATTTATTAACTGTAATAATATTGATATTCTTTGTATTACTGAACACCCTTTCTATCAAAACATCAGTTCATGTTTAGCTTCAACAATCACCAGGTGGCAAGTTCGTTCAGCAGAGGAAAAGCTATTCATGGCGGCTCTTTAATTCTTATTAAAAATAATTTAAAGAACGTACAGATATTGTGAGCTATCTATTGAGCGGACTATAGAGATATCCTGCATATAGCTTGAACGGCTTGTTATATTAAGCGTGTACAGACCCCCCTCATTCATCTTACGAACTATTTGAAAAAAGATTAGATGAAGTTTTAGGCAAATTAAATAATCCAAATAAATATATTGCTGTTTGTGGTGACTTCAATGTTAACTTATTAGAAGATTCCAGTGCTAGCAGTAGGCTCATATCATTTTTCCAATGTTATAATTTTTTGAATCTTTTCTTGGTGCCTACTAGAATAACTTCTACTACTGCCACTTGTTTAGACAACATTTATATTAACGCCGTAGGTACCTAGTAATAAATCTATTATAAATAAATTAACTTCTGATCACTGCGGTCAATTGGCCACTTTTAATATAACTGTTGACATAATGCCAAAAAAGGATATCACATGTGTTCCGATAAATAATGGTCGACTTAAAGCTTATAGAAATAATGTAATGCTTAAACTAACTGAACTTCCGTACGTTAACGATCCCAATAAATTGCATAATTCAATTTTCAACATAGTCAAAAGTGAACGTGATAACGTTTTTAGGTCCAAAATCATAACTATTAATAAATCATTGAAATTTAGTGATTAGGCGACTGTGGGAATTCACAAAAGTAGACAAAGACTATATGATCTTTACGATGAAAGGACTTGTAACACTAGCAACAGTTTTAATGATTTTGTTAGGAAATATTCGAAAATGTTTAAACGTGTTTGTGTTGCAGCCAAAGCAATGTTTATAAATAATAAAATAAAAAGCAGCGTGAATGTAGTAAAAACGACTTGGAATATTATAAACAGCGAAACTGGAAGGGTCAAACCTCGTAACTTAGATTTTCAACTAATATTTAATGACAAAATTGTAAACACAGACGCAGAAGTTGCTAAAATATTTGAATTTTTTTTACTGACATTCCAATGTTGACTACTAAGTCGTTAAATTCATCTCCCACCGCCGCTGAATCCTTACTAAAAGAAAATAATGCAGTTATTATCACTAATTTAAGGTTCCGTCATGTATTTCCAAACGATATTGTTAAAGCCTTTAAGTCTATTAACATAAAAAATACTGCTGATCTTGATAGTCTTTCAGTCAGAGTAATTAGTTCTATAGTTGATTGTATTGCGCCTTACTTAGCCTGTGTCTTTAATAAATGTGTTGATGATGGTGTCTTTCCTGACCTCATGAAGCAAAGTAAAGTTATTCCACTTTTCAAATCTGGTAGTATTTCTGACCCCACCAATTTCAGACCTATATCAATACTACCAACTCTCAGTAAAATATTTGAAAAATTATTCTAAATCAGATGTATGCACATTTTTATAGTAATAACTTAATGTCTCCTAAACAATTTGGTTTCACTCGGGGTCGCTCTACAACCGACGCTGGTGTCGAGTTGATTAATCATATATTTGATGCATGGGAAATCACATGATGCTATTGGTGTATTCTGTGACCTTTCCAAAGCTTTTGATTGTGTGCACCATGATACACTGGTCAGGAAACTTCGCCATTATGGTGTGGCGGGACGTGATCTCGTCCTTCTTAAATCGTATTTGCGTGGTAGGGTACAGAGGGTCGATGTTAACGGTACGAGATCATCAGGATCTGTAATTAGCATGGGTGTCCCTCAAGGTTCAATTCTAGGCCCATTTTTGTTTTTAGTTTATATTAATGACTTACCTAGCCTTATGGAGGGTATAAAACATGAGATAGTATTGTTTGCTGATGATACTTCCTTATTATTTAAAGTTAAAAGGCACCAATGTTCCTACGACGATGTGAACAATGCTATATCTAAAGTAGTTGATTGGTTTGCTGTTAATAACCTACTTCTTAATGAGAAAAAAACAAATTGTGTGAAATTTACATTACCCAATGTTAGAGAGACGGTTACAAACATTGTAGTTAGAAACGAAAAATTGAATCTTGTGGATACAGTTGTATTTCTAGGTGCAATGGGGTCCCCATATAAGTAAGTTATCAAAACGGCTCGGCTCTGCAGTGTACGCGATTAAAAAAATAAGGAAACTTTCAGACGTCGAAACCGCTAGATTGGTTTACTTCAGCTACTTTCACAGTCTAATGACATACGGCATTTTGCTTTGGGGTAATGCCGCCGATATCAATAGAATCTTTGTCCTGCAGAAACGTGCAGTTAGGGCAATTTACAATCTGGGCCCCAAAGTATCCTTGAGAGATAAGTTTAAGGAAATTAACATTCTTACACTAGCCTCACAGTACATTTATGAAAATGTAATTTATGTTAAAAGGAATAGTAATTTCTTTATGAAAAATAGTGACAGACATAACATTAATACGAGGAATAGAAATAAACTAGCTTTTCTTGATAGTCGTCTTCACAAAGTCAAAAAATCATTTAAGGGGCAATGTATACGCTTCTATAACAAGATTCCGGTTGATATACAAAATTTACCTTTCACGAGGTTTAAAACTATAGTGAAACAAAAACTTTATACTAAAGGTTATTATACAACTTCTGCGTACTTGGATGACAAAAATCCGTGGTAGTAACCCGTTTAGCTCATGGAGATAGTCTCAATCTCTGATGTTTCAAATAAAAAAAATAATTGTAAATGTTATTTACAAAAAGCAACCCCTACAGTTTCTTGCTCATTCTTCTCAGGGGAATCTGCCTTACGAATGAGCGGTAGAGTTTAACCATTGTGACAATTTCAAGTGTAATAATGCTTTCCTATGAAATAAAGATTATTTTGAATTTGAATTTGAATTTGAATTTGAATTTGAATTTGAATTTGAATTTGAATTTGAATTTGAATTTGTATTTGAATTTGATAGAATAGCAGAAAAAACACATTTTCGATAACAGATATAAACGTAGGTACTGCCAAAAAAAACATGTTAGAATAATTTGAATACCTACTACAACATAAATACTTATCTAATTAGTCATACATAGAGGTAAAAAATTGCAGTACGTGCTGTCAGAGATCAGTGGGCCCACTCCGCATGGTCTGCCATACCTTGACAGCTCAATTATCGCGTATCTACCGATTTCATCACGCGAAGTGGCAGAATTAGTACGCTAATTGACCAACTGGAGGTTTTATAAAAAGCAGCTAATTACCTACTATAGTACCGACGTATGTTGTAGGTACGTAGATAACAAAATTTAAGAATTTTAAATTTTTACTTTAAATAAGTAGATGGAGATAAAGACTACGACACGAAATATTGCCATATGGGTATTTATTTTGGGACAGACTGCGGAAATTATAGCATCATATTTTACCATAGAATACAGAGTGAAATGGATTGAAAAAAAAATCGTTCCACTATTACACTTAGTCACAAACATAGTAAACAACAGTAGCAGGTCCTTGTGAAAGAGTTCGTCCAATATAGCACCATAGAGCGCGACTAGCGCGAGAGCGATATAAAGCGCGAGATACCTACTGGCACTAGGTATCTCGCGTATTCTCGCATAGAGATTTCGCGCTTTATGTCGCTCTCGCTCCAGTCGCCGCATGTCGTGCCAGCCCTACAGGTAAGTACTGCCACCTTACCTTTTTCTGCCGTCAAGCATGCGTTCCGAATTTAAAGGGTGCTATTGAAATTACAGGCACATGGGACTTGTCAACTTATGCCTTAAGGTGACGGGCGCAGTGGCAGTGCCCCTTAGGTCTGGATATTTAAACCTCTGAGTGGCACTGCAATTGTTGTGGACAAGCGTGTCGCTCACCATCAGCCGCACGACTTGTTCGTCCAGTCACTTGGTATCATAAAAAATATTGGGTCAAAAAAAGAGTCAGTAAGTAGGTGATAATTTCTACGCTAATAATGTAGATAAATCTGTCTACAACCCCATTGTGTTAGTATGACAGACAGTAGTATTAAACATCTAACTGGAGGACTGTAAGCCGTATACGGGTTGATGCGGTATCTTCAGTAATTTTAGAAGTAAGAGGAAACGACAATAACATAGTGCTGTCTGTCTGACTGATCTAGACGTCTAGTCGCCATCATCATCATCGTGATTCTGTTGATGAATCTCGTTGTTCTATGGGAGTTACCATTTTTATTAACGATAGGTAATTACATAATGTAGGTACCTAGTATTATTATCCATGATACGTTTTAGGTTATCAAAATGAAAAGATTGCAGCCCTCCAATTAGGTTAAAAAGTACCTAATTGGAGGGCTGCAATCTTTTCATTCGACACTTCGACATTTTAGTTTTTTTTGTTAAGAACGAGCGATAGTGCGGTTGATCAGGTACTAAACCTATTGTCCTATACCTAATCCCAAAATAGTTTTATTTGAAAGTGGCCCCATCACTAGTTTTGTTGGCCATTTGTCTTTTGAAAACGTTTTGTATACAATAATATTATGATCTAACCTATACAATAATATAATCCATATATACATATATGTAAATGCCATTGCTTGATAAGAACAAAGCGTGGCCGCTACTGATCCGGCCGTTAGCTGCACGTAAAAAGAATCTTTTTGATGGTAACGCATCGACTTTGCTGATAGTACATATAAGTGCTGCGTAGTTATGTGGGTAAGTAATGTTTTTGGGACTAATTAAAATAATATTTCGAAGTCTAAAGTTTTCAAAAAATTCGTACCTATGAGATGGTATAGTATTCACAAATACTATACCTAGATATAAGTATCATGTATTCTAGTCCTATGTATCGATATCTTTAGGTATACATATATAAGTAATTGATGTCACGCATGAGCGAGCTTCCCCAGTAGGCATGATACGTGACGTCAGAGCGGGCAGCGCGCGCCAATAGCGATGCGAGGCGGCGCTACTTGCGCCCGCGCACCGCCCACTCGTCCGCTATGAGAAAATTAGGAAAATTTCTGCATAAGTAGTACCTACTTGTAAATAAAGAAAACTTTAATGCATGTGTCTTAATATACAGAGGGATCATTAGTGGATTTATTTTCCTGTTTATGTGAAATAATATTTTTCGAAATAGCCCTAAAAATAATTATGTGAGATCTAATGCAGGTGCATTAACATGATGTAGGTACATCTCAAAAAGTCTTTCTAGGTCTATTAACAAACACGAAGAAGAGACAAAGACTTTCTAACTATTGCCATTGAGTTAGGTACGTATCTACTCCAATAATTAATTATGTTTATATCTCTATTCTGAACAACACTGCTTATATCTAAGTGGCACTAAACATTTTTCTATAATAAAAATATGTGGTTTTAATAATGTAAACAAACATCGAGCCATATCAAAGCTCGTCCCTACTGTCGATCTGGCATTTATAGTTAGGCAAGCGCATAAGGGGCTCTTTATATTCCTTGCGCGCGAGTCGGTCGGTCGCACGCGCGCTCTTCCCGCGTAAACAAATTCTTTTTTTCCTAAGTTTTTTTACGGAGCCATGAATTGGGATCATGAACATAGGCCTTGTGACAAGGTGGAGATCAATGAAGCAGTCGGAAAACTTTTGCAGAGCTTCAATTACGACAACATTGTACCTCAGCCTACCAAGTGAGTTTTCTTTTGGTTTTATTATAAGTATTTCTTGATATTATCTATGCAATTTTATTATAATAAGTATACTTTTTTATTAGGATTTTTGTCTTTTTTTTGTTTGTATTTTTTTTTGTCCTTTGAGCCTGTCTTCATATAGTTTTCGGGATTCTCAATAAATATTTTCTATTGTATCGAGTTCTTAGGTTTTCGCGATTGTTACACATAGAAAATGAAACTATTTTTCCGGATTTAAATTGCGTATATTTGTTTTTTCAAACAAACCGACGTTTCGGGCCCTTTACAGGTCCCATGGTTTGCGGTTGACTGAGGTGGTACAGTCTTCAACCTTCAAAAAAAAAGTTATTTTCTGTTGTGTTTTTAATATACTTTGTATAATGGCAAAAATAACTTTGGGTTTCTTAAATAGTCTTTTAAGCGGTAGAAGTCATTATTCATGTTTTCATTTTCACTTAAATTACTTGCTAATAAAAGTCGTTGAATTTTGAACACGGCTTAGTAGGTATTATTCTTCTTGTATGCTTCCACACCATTCGCCCTTTATATCTTGATCCTTCTTCCAGAAACTTTTAAAGTCCTTTCACTTCAAATTCCCGCCATTTTTTTCCCTAATGAGTATATTTTTTATTAAAAAAAATAGAGATAGTGGCAAACGTCAATTTTTAATATACTATAGTTCAATGTTTATTTCATAAGGCGATAATATAAATTTGTGACTAAAATGTTGAGGCCTCTATCTTTCTTAAAGAAAAAAGAAAATAAGCAAGCACCAAAATTTTTATTTTACCATAGGATTTCCTTCGTAAGTATGTTTTAAATGATAACATGATGACCTTACACAAGGTGGATCATTGTATGGAAAGCCACACCTAAAGATATAAAATATGCTAAAGTCTTTTCTAGAAAATTGAACCATACGTTGTTTATATAGCGTTAAATTTACAGTCATTACGTAGCTATATACTGTCACTGTTAATATAACTTCATCATCAACTCTGCAAAATATAAATAAATGGGGAGAAGTTTTATGATACTACGAACAAAATTAGTGGATAACTAGAGTTATAAAATTTAATATAGATAATTATGGTCGGTGTTTTTTTCTTTTTTTGGGATCTTTGGTTTATCACAATTGTTCTAAAATATTTACGTCCTATTTATGTTCAATTTTAAAACTTAAACTTGATGAAAACCACAATTTAATTTCAAACAGGACGCAAACAATTTAAAACAGTCGTTAACAACAAAAAAAAAAATACTGTCAAACGGCGCTTGCGCCATTTCTACAAAACATATGACCATATACGTGATTTGTTTTATGTAGTTCATATTTTGATGGCTTATAAGTGATAAAAGCATTTTCGACGTTTGATCACACGAAGCTATAAGTATTATATCAATGGTACAACTTCTTACTAATAAAAAAAACTAAACATTATGCAAAATGGCCATGGTTTCTAAATGTCAAATATCAAACTGTGAAAGTGTTACAAAATGGACTTCCAACGTTTTTCAGTTGTACCATTCATATTATACCTATTACCTACTTATAAAATAAAAGCACACGTACGAGTAATTCCTATAAACTAATAGCAAGTTCTTAGGAATAATTTATGGGCTGCCGAAACAAAAACTCACTTGTAATCGAACACCGGGCAATGAGGTTTCAATTTGGGCTAGCTCGTGCTCGATAACCATACGGTCTCTTTCAAGTAGGTACCTACCTACTTATTGAGTCACCACAAATGTGCTTAGAATCACTTTAGTTTATAATTTGATTTGAATGACAGCTTGTAACTTATAAGTACTTTTATCAAGAAATTAGAAACAAAATGTATTTAGTAAGTTCGTATGTCGATACAAACTGTAATTAAAAACTTTTTTTTAAAAAGACAACCAACTTCAAAAACAAACAAAAAGTCAATACACTGAAAAGCGAAAAATAATACAGATTTAATCCAAATGACAACAATACACGTAATACTTTTTATTTATTTTTGTCCTATTTCGTTTTGTTCACAGTATTATTACAATTACCTACCTACTTATTAATCAATCTATCTACTTCTATGGTTTATTGATACAATTTTCCAACTTGACAATTATTGTCCAAACCTATAATTTTTATAAGATATTATTATTGGCATATGCTACCTACTGGTCGGTTTGAAATTTTATTTTGCCATTAAAAAAAAAATTGATACTGAAATATTTACAATATCCAATCAGTTTTTGGAGTCCTCCTCCTTTTTTTGAAGTCAGTTAGAAAGAAACTGAACTACTGCTCAGACATTTTCCTGCTTCTTTTTCATCATCCACAGCTCAGCTTCACCCACTGCTCGGTATAGACGGTTTCTTAAATGATATCATAAGTGCACATTTGACCTCCATCGCACCTGATGGAAAGTGACGGTGAGGTCGACAATGGAGCATGCACACGTATATAATAATATATAAAGCCAATTCACTCTTGCCTTGAAAAGGCTCAAGTTATAGCGCTCAGGGAATAAACCTGGGAGCAGGAAATTCCGCTCGAATGCTACACGCCATATAAAAGTGGAAGTATAAAGCTTTCTGTGAATCTTGGGTATATCCACAACATAAGGGTGGAACGCCTACGTCTAGTCCCTCGATGACTAAAAGGAGTTGGCGGAATTGTTTCATGCAATTCCGTCGCACACTTTCCCGTAGTTTGTGTCATCCAACACGATCTTGCGCTAGTCTTATCCATCTACGGCCCGTGACTTCAACGATTTCGTCTACGCGTCTTGTTGCAGGACCGCCTTTGGACCAGTTGTACCATTATTATTTATAATAATTACAAGTAAATAGGGACAGGTTAGTATCTTATATCCTTAATGGTATAATTCAGTGGCATAACTGGTCCGAAGGCACAAGATCTGCCACGTTTCTATAACCACTGCTTGGCCATCATTCGGTTATCGCTTTACTCCATCAGTCATCACAACGCTTCGCAATATGTCCTGCTCAGTTCGATTTAGCTTCGTTACCTGATCTAGTTCGTTTTTGGATTTCTTCGGAATTCAACTCAGTCTATAAGTTTGATACCGACCATGGCACTCCGTGCGACTCTCATTCTATACATGTTTCAACATCCTAAGTCGTAGTCGACAAGACGCAATGGTTGAATAAGTGGATCTTCAAACACAGTGTTTTATTTTATACAACCCGTATAAACGCATCAAACGTAAAAACTACGGAAGTAAAAAAAGAAAATGGTCTATGGTAGAAACAGATTCGGCTCGGCGATTCGTGTCCACAGTAGCTGTATCTTTTAAGTAGCAATAGAGCTCCTTGGGTAGGTAAGAGTTCGTCCAGGGAAGTACTGCCACCTTAACTATTTCTGCCGCCAAGCAGTAATGTCACCATTACTGTGTTCCGGTTTTGAAGGGAACCCTTTCCCTTCAAGCTGGTGAAATTGCGACTTGTCAACTTATGTCTCGGGGTGACGGGTGCAGTGGCAGAGCCCATAAGATCTTTGCGATTTAAAGCTCTGACTGGCACTGAAACTGTTATGGATAGGCGTGCCGCTTACCACCAGACACACGACTTGTTCGTCCCGTCACTTGGTGTTATAATATATAAATAAAAATAAAAATTGCCAACGAATTAGGTAGCGAAACCTAATCTGAAAATTACCCAAAAACATCATGATACTCGTAATGATGATTAGGTACAATTAATATTTCTAAAAACTAATTATCAAGATACAATTTTATTTGCCAAAGATTTCGTTATGCCTTAACGGCCTCAACTCGACAAAAGCCTGTCTAATAGAGAAGTTTACCATAGGTACTTATGACATTTGACAGAGGATAAGGAATATGGAGTTATTTTTATTCAGCCCGAAACTCACTAGCCGTAGAGATAATGTACTTATGCGTCACCTGAATTTCAGAATGTACTGTCCCAAGTGTCCTACCATAGAAATATGCGGCGCTTGAAAGAGCTATCTACATAAATAGTATGTTATATCAACAAATGCCTACATTACAATAAATTACAGAGACATTATTCACTGAAGCCATTAATGATAACAAAAAGGCATTACCGTCATACGAACGTCGCATTATTTATTAACTTATATAATTAATTATGTAGCATTCTCCCGATATAGGAATATTATTTTGATCACTATAGGTATAATAATAATAATAAATTATTTTTTTTGTTCAGGTCCAATGGCGTTAGTATACTTACAAAAATAACTTAATGACTAGATTAGTGGTAATAATAATTAAAATTTACTTAACGAAATAAAATGACAACTTTTATTATATCAAGTGACGGGACTAACAAGTCGTGCGCCTGGTGGTTAGCGATATACCTATCCAAGACAGTTGCAGTGCCACTCAGAGTTTTAAATCGTAAAGATCTGAGGGGCACTGCCAATGCGCCCGTCACCCTGGGATATAAGTTGACAAACCCCACGTGCCGCGTTGGCGGCAGAAATAGGTAAGGTGGCAGTACTTCCCTGGATGAACTCTTTCACAAGGAGCTCTCTGCTACTAAAGGTTAAGAAATTAATAACCTAATTAGTATTATTGAAAACATCGTCAACAATCACATGTAGCGCAGATGGTCCTCGTAACTTAGAAATTTTAAGAATTTGTAATACAGACTCATATTATTTTTTAAGATTATCAAGTGCCTGGTGGTAAGTGACACGCCTGTCCTTAACAGTTTTGCAGTGCCACTCAAAACTTTATATCGCAAAAATCTGAGGAGCACTGCTACTGTGCCCGTCATTCTGAGACACAAAGTTGACAAGTCCCGTGTGTCTATAGTTTTACCAGCACCCTTACTCTTCAAAACCGGAACACGATAATGCTCACATTACTACAACATGGCGGCAAATATAAGTAAGGTGGCAGTACCTACTTCCCTGGGCGAACTCTTTCACAGAGACCTCTACTGCTTGAGTAGGTGCTTAAATTGCCTATATTTAGCACAATACTAGTAAAAACCTCAGAATA